CCGAGGGGAAAGGAAAGAGAAGAAAATTCAAGAAATAGAAGAGGATAGCAAACTGAGCATTAGTGCAGAAAGAATCAGCCTAACGCCTCGGGTGCTGATAACCATAACCAAGAGGTGGGGGGGGGAGCAGGGGAGGGGGGAGGTTGCTGCTGCATGAGTGGTGGAGTCTGGTTTACCATTTTACAAGTGTGTGAGTTGCCGGAGGTTTAGCATGGCTACGCCGGACCCGGACCCGGACATTTCCGGACATGGAACCGGACCCGTGTCCGGTAGTTTCCGGACGTCTGGAATTCCGGACATTTCCGGACATGGGGGGACCCGGACGGTCCGGATATCTGGACAGGTCCGGAAATGTCTGGACCATTAAAAAAAAAAAAAAAAAAGATCTGAAAAAAAAGTATGTTATGCAGAATAACAATGCAAACCACTTTTGCCTCAGAGTCATGTCAGAATTCCTAACCAAACTTGAGTTAAAAGTCAAAAACTATAAAACGCTTAAAAAAAGACTTTAAAAACTAATAAAAGGTACTGAATTATTAATAATTAAAAAACTGGGGTTGTCTAATAAATTATTATAGAGAGAGAGCATGTCCGGAACCCCAAAAAAAGCATAAACGGGCCTGAAAAACCCCCAAAACAATTTTGGGGGCTTGGCGCCTCAATGGGGAAGGGTTCTGGACCCTTTTTTTTTTTTTTTTTTTTTCCGAAATTTGGCAGATCCGGACCTTCCGGACCGGACGTCTAGAGTCCGGACTGAATCCAGACCATCTGGACGGCGGTCCAGACGTCTGGATCGCAGCCACGAGGATTAGGGTTTAGGGTTTCGGGTATAGGGTTTTAGAACTGTGCGAGTGGGGGCAACATACAACTGTGAGGCAGCCAACACAGAAGGCTCTTTGTTTGATCACTCATGATTTTTTATGCAAGAATCGATGTTGTGCTTACTTCGGGTGGCCTCTATCTCTCCCCGCTCCTTTCTATTCCTCCTCTCTTCTCTTCTCTTCCCTTCCTCCCCACTTCTCTACGCTTTCTTCGCCTTCTTCTTTGGATATGGTCACTCCTGATTGTGAGCAAGCTCTTGCCCGATCAAGGTCTCAGACTGTCGGTGTGATCACGACTGGTTGCGTGAGTATTCATGGTCTGTGGCAGGGATCTGTCCCTGATCCTCAGCTGACGTCGTGCTTACGTACTACATCGCTTGGCTACTCGACCATCGACACAGATGCAGAGAAGTCGTGCTTATGTACATCTGACTGCAATTACGGCCACATACCTGGATGGATCTGACCACAAATACATCCACTGGCAGAAAAAATAGTGAAAAAGTGGCAGTTTAAGTATGCCCTGAGGTGGAGAAGCAGGTTGTGGTGGGGGGTAATGGATCCCAGATGTGAAAGGGGTTTCTCTGCTCACCTACTGGTTTCACCCGAATAGAACGCCCGCCCGTCGTCATAGCTGCATTTGGCCCACCTTTCAGTCCAGATGCAGTGATAATGACTGGGCGTTCTATTCGGGTGAAGATGGTAGTTCCATCCATGGGTCCGATGGGGATTCCAACTTGGGTCCGTTCTTCAATAGTTCATGCCATTGGGTGTACCAACGCCCGTTGGTGATCTGAAAAGTTTTTTTTTTTTTTTTTTTTTTTTTTTTTTTTTTTTTTTTT